ATCCAGTTAATCTGTTCCCCCCCAAAATTTTCGTTTTTTTTTTTTAAAGAATAAATACTATAGTTTTACATAGAGAAAACAATGAGAAATATAAAGCACTAATTTTAATGGATAAATGAACATTAAATCAGTTTTACCTTTATTGAAGACTCTTGTTGGCATATGAGAGAGGAGAGTTTGTTTGGAGGCAGGACAGGATAATCCTTCAATATGACACTAATATCAACTCTACGGTTTATTTATCTAGCATAATTCATCTAACATGACATAAACAATATTAATAACGTAAACATGATATATACTCTAGAATGACTAAAATGTCATATCTCTCCCTAACTGACGAGTATTGCTGTGTTTGTTGTTGGGTGTATAAGGGCCACTGAAAGATGAGCATTACATAGTGGTGGTGATGGCGGCAGCAGAGACAGCGGTGTTGTCAGTCACCCTATATAATTCCAACAACATTGGAGGAGTCAGTTTCGTGCTGTTCTTTTTCTATCAATTAATATCTTAACCCTTTTAGCCCTGAATTACGAAAGGCATATTGGTTTGTTCTCATTTGTTGATATGTTGTGTGAGGCAGAGAGCTGCCAAAGTTACCAGATTCACAATCGAGTAGGTTTTTAGAAGGTAGTGAAAGTCCCTCCAGTTTTTAATGGCTTCCAATTGTTACCAGTACATTGCTATGGTTATATAAATAAGCTGGGAACCTGAAATTCCATCAGAGCTAAAAGGGTTAACTTAACTTGACTCACGAAATCGTAATGACACGATTGCAAACAAGCCATGCCACGGGCGGGATTTGAACCCGTGGTCAGAGAGTCTCAAAACTCCAGACCGTCGCGTTAGCCACTGGACCAGCTAGCCACAATAAGATTCGTCCAACTAGGTATACGTATTTCTACACCATAGGAAGGTTAGCATAGGCACCACTGTGACCACAAATGCAAGTTTTTACGGACGAATCTCCAGCTAGCGTGGCTGTGACGAACTCTAGCTCAAGTTCCCTCAATGCCATCAACATGACTCACGAAATCGTAATGACACGATTGCAAACAAATCCCGCCCATGGTATGGTTTGTTTACAATCGTGTCGTTACAATTTCGTGAGTCATGTTGACGGCATTGAGGGGACTTGAGCTAGAGTTCGTCACAGCCACGCTAGCTGGAGATTCATCCATAAAAACTTGCATTTGTGGTCACAGTGGTGCCTATGCTAACCTTCCTGTGGTGTAGAAATACGTATACCTAGTTGGACGAATCTTATTGTGGCTAGCTGGTCCAGTGGCTAACGCGACGGTCTGGAGTTTTGAGACTCTCTGACCACGGGTTCAAATCCCGCCCGTGGTATGGTGGGTTAACTTGCTACACTGGTAATGCTACACTTTATCGCTGGCTGGCTCTGTAACCTTTATCGACTCTTGCTGCTTTGGCATCGTACATATTGTAGAATCACTGAAGGCACACTCCCTTCTCTCTTCCTTCTCCACTTTGGTACTTTGCTGCAATTTATTTCTTCGATTGTATTGTGTTTCTTACTTTCTTTACCAAAGGGCTGCACTATGAAGTTTCTTTGGGTCCATGGTGGCTTATTTCAGTCACAATCAATAAACAAGCATTAAATGCAATGAACTGTGAAATGTTTGGATGAGTGTGCAGGGTTATATTCACTCGAGGATAAACAATGCTAGACTGGCTCGCGGCGCCTGTACAGGCAGTGAACAGGTCTGGTACACCGGCTGAAACACTGGGCACAGGCTGAAACTCGGGACAAAATTTAGCCGAAACTAAGTGGCCGATCCTCAGGGCAGCCGAAACTCAGGGTTCCACTGTACTCTGATGATTATACTTGTGTGTACCTGTACCTAAATATACTTACACACTGTGCTGGCATGCAGGTACACATAAAAATCACTCTCTCTCTCTACTCTTGATGCCATATAATCTCTTGGACACACTAAATGTCATACATTATGTTAATATAGACATTTCCATTAATCCATCTATATTTTTTCAAAATTATATAATAAACACGCTACATAACATATAAATATATTGCATACACCCACAGTATAAAAATTGACATAAATATAAAATTTGTTTACCGAGCGGTTTGTAGGAGTGTTGGAGGAATTGTTCTCTAGTCAAACACCAGTTACTTAACTGTCGAAAAATATTCCTTTCATATGCCTTCGCTATCTATAGCTATTCACGATTCTTGTGGGTTTAACGCTTCTTTTTATTATGATTATAATTGCAATAATTTGTAGTAATAATAACTTGTCAGAGCATCGTTCCTTTGAAAAATGTTACAAGAGAATGGAAATGTTAGTCTTTATTTATTCTACTGTACCACTGTGGAGACAACTTGTACACAATTTAAGGAATTTGTATGAACGTATATCAACCGTAACCAGATGCATTTGTTTACATAAGTACTCTGGCTCTGTTATCTTCTCATTCTCTCTCTCTCTCGTTTATTCATTTTTATCCTGCTTACCTTTCACCCTACATTAAGACTACAAATATTTTAAGGTAAGTAATGAGAGTACTTTATGTGCATTTTATCGCTCTAGGGCGCTTTAACCCTTAAACGGTCCAAACGTATATATACGTTCTCGTGCATAGTGCCCCAAACGTATATATACGTTTTCTTTGTCATTCATTCAACACTGCCACGATATGCCCGAGTCACCTAGAAATGAGAGAATGGGTGTGCGCACTCACTGTGCACCATATTAAAATAATTGGGGACGCCTGAGTACCATATGCTCTTTTTTCCTATTAAAACAAAAAAAAATTTTTCTCTCAAAATTTGGGGCGCTGCGCGAGTGAACGTATATATACGTTTGGACTGTTTAGGGGTTAACCCTTTGAGGGTCGACAGGCCCTCTCCGAAACTCGTTCTCAGGGTCGGCCAAATTTAAAAAAAAAAAAAATATTTTTCTCTTATGAAAAGATAGAGAATCTTTTCCCGATCATAAGGACACCAAAAGTTTGAAATTTGATGGAAAACTTACGGAATTATGCTCTCGCGAAGTTAGCGGTCTCGGGGATATTTACGCATCGGCGATTTTGCCCACTTTGAGCCCCATTTTCGGCCAATTCCACTGTACTAGTCGACAAAAAACATGAATATTTCGCTAGAACTCCATTTTTTCTATCGAATGGGTGCAAGAAACCACCCATTTATGAAATTCAACTATCCAGTACAGTGGTCAGAATTTAGCAATTTTGCCAATTTCATACAAATTTCAAAAGATGCCAATTTCCGAATAGGGTCCAGAATAAACAAGAAAGACATTCCTGGCACTAAAATGACATTTCCTCTGGTCATTAGTCATGTCTCAAGGCCCCTCTTATATTCTTTTGCTTTCCACTTTGTATTTTTATTCTCACAAAAAATATAAGATTTACTGTTATGCAGACTACTGCATTAGTGTAAAAAATGGTATAAATATTATTGGCGCACTTGTGAAAGAATATTAGACTCACCAGTTGACGTGTATTGGACCATTGGCACGATTTGTTTACTTTTGAAATTTAGTAAAAATCGAACATTTCTGCTACTTTGAGCTCAATTTCAAGGCATCTTTCATTGTAAAACCAGTCAAAATCATCTCAATTTCTGTAATGTCTTCCATTCTATAAAATGAGACCAAGAAAACTAGAATACAACAATAAATACCATACGAAAATACAGTGCAAAGTCGCTGTTTTATTCCAACAAAACAGTCAGTTTTTTTTCATATTATGCACTGTGTGCTGCAAGATTTTTTTTAGACTGTGCACACTGACCACATAGACCCATTCTTTCATATGAAGGCCTACCAGCTTTCTCCCACTAGATTTGAGGGCGCTAGAATTTAGGCGTACTAGTACGTCAAAAACCCTGGGTCGTAAGCCGTACTAGTACGTCCAAAACCCTCAAAGGGTTAAATGTCATAGTAAGTGGGGTGGCCAGGTGGGCTCCCATACCTCCCACACGACTATCTTCAAATAAATTCTTTTCACCTCTCGCCCTATATTAAGACAATTAAGAAAAAAAATATTTTAAGGTAAGTAATGAGTGTACTCTACATGCATTTTATCACTCGAGGGCGCTTTAAGCATCGTAGTATATTATGTGTGGGTGGGGTGGTCAGGAGGGCAACCATACCTACCTACAGCTGACTTCTTACAGTAAATACTACTCACCTTTTACCCTACATTAAGACTAAAAATATTTTGAGGTAAATAATGAGTGTACTGTTTGTATTTTACTTGTTTTTTAATGCCTAGTTCTATTGCTAACTTAATATATGTTAATGTAAACTTATCTGGCATTTATATGCATTTTTAAGTGGAAAAAAATGGCGTTCTGCTTTTCGGTGATGTCTGCTGTGTGTTGGTAGCCTGGAACCTAACCTGCCATATAAGTAGGGCCCTGCTGTATGTATACCATCTTTGTTTAAATGGAAATATGCAAAATACAACAGTGAAAAGATAAAGTAATTTCATGTGTTCAGACACAAATCTTGATTCCAAATATGTGTATCTAAACTCGCTAAAGTGCTCATTATGGTATTTTTTTCAAATTGGTGGTCTCAAGTGATTTCTTCCCAAATTAATGTAGAATATAAAAGTCTTAAACATTAATAAAATAACATATGCTAATGTACTGTAATGGTATGTGTTGAAATAATTATTAATTATAAGACATTGATTACATGTTCATCATTTTGCTCAAGATACATGGTTTTCTTTCCCATCAAAGGAGGTTCCCTGACACTGGTGAAGGGATCTACTCAAAGAATGGGAAGCTCCCTTACTGTTATTGATCAAACCAGATTACTTCCCATTCACCAGATACTGCATAACCTCTCAGTTTTAGCACTTCCCCATGAATATAATTTTACAACTTTCTTAGTGGGAATAGTTTGGTGTGAGTAGGATCTACCTTACATGGGCCAGTAGGCCTACAGCTGTTCTTTGTTCTTATGCTCTGCTCTTTTTTAAAGCCTCCAGGTCGGGCACCAGAACGGATGTGGCAGAGCGGATGGTCTGGCAGAAGTGCACGTCTGCTGGGAAGACAGGTCGAGCAGGAGGATAATTTTGACAGATCACAAGGGCTGACAGAGTATATTTTGCATAACATGCCTACTGAGCCTGATCCATCAGAAGAACAGGCTTGGCAAAACATGCCTGACAGAACCCATCCAGCAGAAGATTGGATCAGGCAGGATACCTCTGACAGAACACGTCTAGCAGAAGAACAGATTGGGCAGAACATGTATGGCAAACGAAGACGTCTGGAAGAACACTGGATGAGGCCAGATACTTCTGGCAGAACACACATGGCAGGAGATTGGGTCAGGCCAGACACTTCAAGTAGAACACGTATGAGAGAAGACTGGGTCAGGCCAGACACTTCTGGCAGGACACCTATGAGAGAAGACTGGATCAGACCAGACACTTCTGGCAGAACACACACAAGAGAATGGATCAGGCCCAACACCTCTGATAGAACATACATGAGAGAAGATTGGATCAGTCCTGACATCTCTGATAGTACACACATGAGAGAAGATTGGATCAGTCCTGACACCTCTGACAGTACACACATGAGAGAAGACTGGATCAGGCGTGACATTTCTCGCAGAACACAAACAGAAGAAGACTGGATCAGGCCTGGCACTTCTGATGGAACACACATGGAAGAAGACTGGATCAGGCCCAACACTTCTGACAGACAAACAAGTCTGCCAGAAGATTGGGCGAGGCAGAACCCCTCTGACAGAGGAATAAGCCAGGCAAAAAGATGGAATAGGCAGAACATTGCTGACAGAATACATCTGGCAGACGAACAGGGCAGGCAGAGCATGGTCAAGGGAACACATCTGCCACATGGAATGCATCTCACAGAACAGGTCTGGCAGAACATATCAGAGAAAATACGTCTGGCAAAAGAACAAGTCAAGCAAGATATGGCTGACAGAATAAATCATGAAGAGCAGGTTTGGTCAGACAGAACAGCTCCAGCAGAAGAACAGGTTGGGTATAACATGTATGGCAGAAGAACAGGTCTAGCAGAACAGGTCAAGCAGAACATGTTTGATAGGCAAAATCTGACAGAACAACAGGGCTGGCAGACAATGTCTGACAGACTAGATCATGCAGAATGGCAGGACTTGCCTGGTGGGAGGGATTTTCTGGCAGAACAGTCCTGGCAGGAGAACAGTTCTGGCAGAACACATCTTTTACAAGAACGGGTTTGGGAAGCTATCTGGTCTAGCATAAATGAAGGGCTGGTCGGAGAAGAGGCTCAGCAGATGAGCAGATCAGGCAAAATGCATCTGGCACAACAGATCTGGCAAGAAGTCTGGTATAGCATGGAGGGTCTGGCAGAAGAAGAATCCTGGCAAGACACTTCCGAAGAACACTTTTTGCAGCACAGGCCAGGGCAACGAGCATTCCAGGCAGGAGCACAGGGCAGGCAGAATAACAGGTTTAACAGGAAGCCATATTTTTCAGGAGGGCAGATTAGGCAGAACAAACCTATGAAAAATGCTTCTCTCCGGTGACGAATATTATTGCAGTCTGAAGGGCCACCCCAACTCTCTGTAACAAGCCCAACCTTCAGGAGTCGTGGAAGATAATAATACACAAAATCTTGGCAATAATGGGCAAGGAATGATAATTTTCTTTGGGGAATGGAAAAGGGTACAGGTGTTAAAATTTCCCACCTAAGCCTCTGCAGAGCCAAATGACACAAAGCTGACAAGTAGTGAAACAGACACAATTGAACAGAAGGAACTTTATTGAAGCATTTCACCAGCAGAACAGACTTCTTCAATCACTTACCGATTGAAGAATCCTGTTCCATGGGGAAAACATCTCGATATAAATAATTTTGAGCCCTAAACCCACGTGGGTCATTCAGCCCAAGTCATGGTGGAGGCTTGATCCTCCGTCTGCTGAGTTCATCTCTACAGAGCCAAGTGCACACAACCTACACGATTCGGTAACCAGCTCTAAAATAGCCATAAATTGGGAGGAAATGTGATTGATGCTCTAACAGATGAGCACAGTGGACAAGTGTGAGGACAAGTGTCCTAGAGAGAGTGTGAAGAAAATTTGTTTGTTGAAACAGCAAGACATCCACACACCAAGGCCAGTGCAGATGTCTGATGCAGCAGCTGCTGGTGTATTTTCTAGTTTTCTTTAGTTGCTTCATTATGTACCTCTGTTTTAACTACTGCCCACAAAATAGATATACGAGGTGCATAATTCTTCTAAATAAATAAATATGTTCGATTATTACATTTGGCTGTGTGTTTAGATTGACATGTGTTGGTAGTTGGGAAAATTTGGATACCTGTAGACAAAAAGATGTTTGTTGTGATTAATATTTATCACTACAAAGGTTTTACACAGAATAGGATAACCCAAAATTGGTAGGAAATTGCAACAATTATGTTTGGTCTACCAGATAACATTACAAGTATGTGGTACTTTTAACTGAAGTCATTTTTATTTTTAAAAATTTTATCAAATAAATACATTGCCTCAAATTATGAATAATTATGCCATTTGGGCTTTTTTTTTCTGATTCTCAATCTGAATAAAATGTGATGGTGCATTGGTCAGTTTAATAGTACCTGACCCTTCAAAGATATTATCTTGACATTAGTGATGGGCTTTTGATACAAGAAATTGGAGCTGTTCTTTGATTAAATGTCCTGGGCATGACCCTTGAGGGTTTAACACTTTGATTTTAATAATGATAAAATGTATATACGAATGTGCATGCAGAAGGCACTTTAGTTACCTACATCACCCAGATATGCTAACCCTTCCTGCCCTTCTCACCGAGTTTTAAAGCTGACCCTCTTTATGATTGACAGAAACTGACCTTTTACACCAACTCTGATATTTATTTCACACATCCTGTAACCCTAACCTTGCCAGGTTTTTGTGTACACTGTTCAGCTCGGCACACTGGCAGCGCTGTATGACCATGGTGGTTTAGCACTTAGTTTTGATTATAATCAGTGCTCTGTGACCCTTTCAGGGTTAGCACTTAACTTTATTATAATACACCAGTGCCACATGAGGAGGGTTTAGTGTTTTATATAATTCCATCCCTGGGATCAAACAGTTACCACCCATGTGTTACATGATTCCTACTAGTTTAGTGCTTCCCAATTGATCATTATAGGTTAAATGCTTCCCCAGTGAAAAATGTATATGATGGGGTTCCTCTGTCAGCAAAGGGCTTTTATCTAACGAATTGGAGCAGCTATTTTTTTTTTTCCTGGATCAAGCCTGGTTACCTGCCATTCTTCATGCACTGTATAAGACCTATGGGTTCAGTGCTTCCATATGTGGCCATGATGGAACATCCACACACACACACACACACACACACACACACAAATGGGAAGCAGGTAAAAGTGGTCCCAAAACTGTACTTTTACAAGATTAACATATGCCTTGTCAGGCAAAAATTATACCTGAGGTCTTGAGTGAGGACCCACTAAACAGCATTTTCTAGATATGCATTCACATGTATAATAGAACCATTAGTGCCCTGATTTTAGTATAGATGAGCTTTTACAACTTCAAACCCCATTTTACTCTCCACAGCTATAGCCCCTCGAGGGAGGTTCCTTGCTGCTGGTGAGGCTCTTGATCTAGGGAACTAGATCTGTGCTCCAGTTCCCTGAATTAAGCCTGAATACCTTCCATCCCCCCACAGGCACTATATAATCCTATGGGTTTAGTGCTTCCCCCTTGATTATTATAATCTCCACAGCTATGCTTGCCATAGAGATGTACACGTCGTGTCGAATCAAGCAAGCGAAAAGTTGTGTATGCAATAATTTCGCAAAAGCCATTCTGAACCTAACGAAAAAAATGTATTTCATTGTTTGTTTATTATTAATTATTGTAAACTTGTCTAAAATGTGTATTTATAGTGGTACCCCGAGTTGTGGCCAAAATTTGTTCCAGAAGGCTGAGTGCCGTTATGAACGAATTTGTTCCCATAAGGAATAATGTAAATTAGATAAGCCAGTTTCAGACCCCCCAAAAATACACTTACGAAAGCACTTATAATAATACAATTACATAATTGTTTGAGTTGGGAGCTGTACAAAACTTTGGGTGCCACTGTAGCTGGATTAGGCTAAATTAAATTGTGCTTGTTATAATAAGGTTAGGTAAGTTTTCTAAGGTTCTTTTGGTACAAAATTACTTTTTTTTACATTAAAACAAATTAAAAATACATCTTCAAACGTATAAGAGACAAATTTAGAAAGGACTTAATTTTGAAATTTTTTTTTGCTAATTGACTAGTCTTACCTATGTAGCATGACATACACACCATGAGTCTTGTTATATATAATAATATATCTTTATTTACTACCAGCGCTGTATAGCCCTTGTGGCTTAGCGCTTCTTTTTGATTATAATAATAATAATAATTTATTTACTACAAGTACATGTACAAGGTATACAGTCCTAGCAGACATTGATGTCATACCATTATATAGAAAAGCACCTTGTTATGCAGAGCATTTTGGGCAAATTAGGTCAGTTTTGTCCCAGGATGCGACGAACACCCAGGTATCCATTTTACTGATGAACATAGACAACCGGTGTAAAGAAACACGTCCGATGTTTCCACCCCTTTGCCGGGAATTGAGCCCAGACCCTCGCTGTGTAAAGCGAGAACTTTTGCCACGATGCCCCATGGTCTGGTGACAAGTTGCAGTAATCACTACTTAGAGGCTTAAAGTATTCTTGACATGGTGAACAAGTTAGGTTCAACCCTAATGAATCATATAGTAGATAGACTTTAAATCTCTCAAATCCTTAACTTGTGAATGTTATGCCTTTGAGGGTAGGGTGCCTTGATGCCAGTGATGGGCTCTTAGTCAAAGGAAATGGTGCTAGCTTCCTCATCCTTGGAACCCCTGTGGGCTTAGTTCTCAATGTGAATGTAATAATACTCATCCTTGGATCAAATCTGATTGTTTCCTGTTTCCACAAGCCCTATATAACTTGGGTTCAGCTCTCCTCAGTGTAATAATAATACACGTGCCAGACCTCGGATACAAGGTGGTCTCCCAAGTGCACTTGTACATTTCGTTGGAGAAGGTATGTATATCTAGTTGTTATAATCGTAACTCAAATTTTTAAAGGGGTAAGCCAGCGGAATGCCTCGGTCAGATAACCAAAAGCTCCAACTGCAGGTCATGATATGACTAAGACCTGCACAGGAAACACTTGTCCTGTTTCCTGACAAACCTAATTGTTGGAGTCCTGAATGGCTCTGCTACTCTTATAAGCAATAGCCATTTCCTAGTTTAGCTAAACAAAGGAAATTACATACACTTCCAGTCAAACAGTTAAACAAATTTAAAAATCAAATCTTTATTTCTAAGAATTGTACATAGAAGTTACAATAATTGAGAGTAAAGTTATGATATAATTTAATACATTTGCATGCATACGTATTCACTGTAAATGTTACTTCATCTATGTGTACAGTCTGAAAAAAAATATGAAAGGCAAGTATTTGCTAGTAAATAAGACTAACGTCAAAACTTGCGAGCTTGTTAACACGACACGGGATCGAGAAAGTGAATTTGGTGCACTGGTCTATTCCCCTCCTTCACCCCTCAAGGGCAGCGCTGTATAGCCCTTGTGGCTTAGCGCTTCCTTTTTATTATAATAATAATCACCCCTCAAGGAAAGTTCCTTGATGCTGATGAGGGGCTCTTGATCTAGGGAATTGGATCTGTGCTCCAGTTCCCTGAATTAAACCTGAATGCCTTCCACATCCTCCCCACAGGCACTGTATAATCCTATGGGCTTTGCACTTCCCCCTGGATTATAATAATAATAATCCCCTCCTTCAGGAGAGGGTCCTTAACCTAAGACCTTGAATCTGTGCTTTACTTCCTTCGCTTGAGCATTCTCCAAGAATGTAATAATAATTGCTCCCAAGCATGGCCAGATTAAGGCATGGACTCTGGGAGCTGCAGCTCAGAGGCCTCCACCAGCTTGAGGGCCTAGTTTAACCTCTTTATTATGCACACAAGACCCATCCTGCAGGTGGTGGTCAAAAAATTACAGAGGTACATAGTGGGTCCAGGGACTGGGCTGGAAAGTTTTTGATGAACAAGTTACAAGGGTAATGAGCTATTTACATGTTAATATCTGGTCACAATCATAATGAGTTATTTATGCAAACATTAATTAGGTCTCTCTCTCTCTCTCTCTCTCTCTCTCTCTCTCTCTCTCTCTCTCTCTCTCTCTCTCTCTCTCTCTCTCTCTCTCTCTCTCTCTCTCTCTCTCTCTCTCTCTCTCCTCTCTCTCTCTCTCTCTCTCTCTCTCTCTCTCTCTCTCTCCTCTCTCTCTCTCTCTCTCTCTCTCTCTCTCTCTCTGTATGTATATATATTATTGTACCCACGAACAAGTGGTATTGATCAATAACACTACAATTAGCCAAGGAGTTGAACCCATGCTGCTTTGGCCTGCCTCATGGTGGGCGAAAACTCATGATGCCTTAATCCACGGGACCATACAATCCTTAAGAGTAGCGCACCCAGCAGAACTGATTGTACTCGCTACCCAAAGACACACGATGGCGTGGATGACTCTAGGCTAATTTCATTCCTCTCCCTGTTTGGTGTACTAGTACTACGAGCAGTATTATATATAATTGTACCCACGAACAAGTGGTATTTGTGGAAAATATTGTATATATTTTCCGGAAATACGGTAATTTATAGGTAAATAGATGCCCTATATTGTATTTTTAAAAGAAGTATGTTATCGAAAATGGGAAATCTGCGGCTGGGCAGGATAGTCGCCATTTTGTTTGAATTTGTATTAGAACGTTGGTGAAATGGGAAGAATTTTTCGTGCTCTAGAGGTTAAAATTGCGCTGACACCTCTCAAATAGGAGGCGAAATTGGTGGATATGCATTCCTGCATAACTTGAGATATCAGGCGACTGGACAAGACCTCTCCAGGAACCTCAGATAAGCTCTCTAGATTTGTGTGTAATTCTGGCCAGCATTATTTTCATAGATTTAGTTAGAGTGAGGTTTTCTGAGTATGATACACATTAATCTCCAGTCAAATTGGTGAGTGATATTAAGATATATTTTCCTTCTGTTATGTAATTGTGTATATATATAACCATTTATTATTTTTAATATACAGTCCACAAATTTATATATTTACCAGAATTCCTGGTGATGTATAATTCATTTAATTAATAGGTCCAGAGCAACTTGTGGTTATGACAGTGGTAGGTATCGAAGGGGGACATTTTTGCGACCTAGGTGTCCCAAATTCCTACTTGTCTAGTTGATAAATAATAATTATCTATGTATATTTATTGTTATGTACATAATTATACATACAGATAAATGCAATTTTCCACAGTATTGATCAATAACAACACCACGACTAGCCAAGGAGTCGAACCCATGCTGCTTTGGCCTGCGTCAGTTCTGCTGGATGCGCTACTCTTAAGGATTGTGTGGCCCCGTGGATTAAGGCATCATGAGTTTTCGCCCACTATGAGGCAGACCAAAGCAGCATGGGTTCGACTCTTTGGCT